AGGATTAGCTTAAACAGCTGCTGTCAATTGGTCACTGTTTACTTCCACTGACCGATCACAGCACTCTTCAACTTCAAGACTTTAAAGAGCTGCTGTCAATTGGTCACTATTTACTTCCACTGACCGATCACAACACTCTTCAACTTCAAGACTTTAAAGAGCTGCTGTCAATTGGTCACTATTTACTTCCACTGACCGATCACAGCACTCTTCAGCTTCAAGATGTTTGTTTTTTTTTTTTTTTTTGGAAAATTTCTTGAACGATCATAAAACTGCATATCTTAATGCAAGCAATTTCAAGTCAAATATATTCTATGATAATGCAAGTTGCTACATTTGCATAATAACTGAATTAAAGTTATAAAATGAAATCACTCAAATTTACTTTTTCATCTAACATTATTTTTTTATCAAAGATAAACAGCAATCAATAAATCAATTTTACTGAAAACATTTTTTGAAACAACAAAGAGATGTAAAGGAAAAATCAATAAAATTAAAGTTATTTGATAAAGACTGATAACTTGATGTTAAAAAGCATCAGTGATATACTGTTTCCTCTAACATCCAATGTCCGTTAGTTTACAAGTGATGGTCAAAGAGAACTAAAATATGGTCAGTGAGAGTGATAACTCAGTAAGTAGCAAACAAACGGAATTCATATCAATATTTGAGAAAATTAATACATTAAACGATTACAGTAAAGGGTCATTTGCGTCATCAATGTCCAATACCATCATAGGTCAGTAACTAAAATATGGTCAGTGAGAGTGATAACGCAGTAATAAAAAACGGATTTCATATCAATGTTTGATAAAAACTAATACATTAAACGGTTACAGCAAAAGGTCATCTACATCATCAATGTCTGATACCATCATAGGTCAAAGATTTCTCCAGCTTACAGCAATGAATTTTGAAGAGAAGTTTCAAGTAATGTCACTAGCTTTAAAAGATTCAGTGATATTGCATGGAAAATTGACCCCCTAAATATATGATAGTGATAAGAGTTTGAGTGATAATTTAAATTAACATTAAATTATAAATGAGAAGCTTAAAGTGCTAATTAGGAGAGCGATAAGAATAAATTCCCATTTGAAGAAGCGCTTTTGGCAATCAATAATATTTCATCTCATCCATAATCCATAGAAAACATGCATGCAAACATGCAATCCAATGTTGCTGCAATTCATGCTACATTTGTTGATCACAACATCTTAGATCAAAGTTCAAAACTGCTACTGTCTGCAATACGACAGAAACAATGACACACATACTCATCTTACATCGATGAATCGCTTTATGATGCAATAATCAATGCTATTGTTAAATTATTGGGAAGGTATTTTTCACGAATAAACACGTCTTCCTCTTATGGCGCCAATTATTAGGCGCTTTTGTCTTAATTAAATTCCTTATTTAACTTTTTCAATTTATCTTCATTTCCTATACATTTTAATTGTTCTTTCTATATTTGTATTATAGAATTTAAAATTAGATTTTGCGCGCGCGCGCGTTATATGTCCCTATCACATCATATTACAAAATGGGGAGACATTTTTATAAATACTGCTAGGATAGCTTTCTTCTTGTTAACTTCACCTTATCTTTAGCTCAACTTAACCTCTGTCCCCTTCCTTTTTTTTGTTTTTCTTTAATTTAACATTTTATGCGCTAAGAATTATTAATGATTATTATCATAGAACTAAAAAAAAAAATGAAAAAGGTCATACAACATTTATTGATTGATCCAGTTTTTACATTTTTCGCTTCTTTTTTTTGTCATTATTTGTTTTAAATTTTCAATTTAGACTTCTTCCCTCAAAAGGAATTATACTGATTGAAAATGAATCCGGAAAATGAAGAGTCTCAAACACCCATGGATGAGACCACAGAAGAGGAGCCAAGCTCAAAGATACCTGAATGTCAACCATTTCAAGGACAAATCCAAGACTGTGATATGGGTGAAACAGCAACAGTGATGAAGGTCAAGTTAAATGATGATACTACTATTAACAAAACATCCGAAAGTGTTAGTTCACATTTTCATTATCCTATTATTTATTGTAGTTATCACTATTTACTCAAATGTTTGATTGAAATCAAACGAAAAAAAAAAAGAAGCAAGTATGAAGAATGTTAATATTATCATTTATTGATTAGTTATGAAATTTATTTGAAATTTCGCTACAGCAACAATTATTCCTTCCAAACCTTGTATTCAAAAAGTGCCAATGGAACTTTTGTTATTTCCGGAAAGACTTTCAGGAAAAGATTTTTTTTTTTTTGCAGTTAAAGACGCTTCTTGAGCAACAGGAATATGAAGAAATGCGAAACACCTCATGGGCTGATCTAATGGACGAAGAAGTAATAAAATCTAAAAGCAGCTTACAATCAAAGAAGGATGAAGAGGTTGTAACATCAAAAATACAATCGGTAGAGAGTGATTGTATTATTTTAAGTTCTAATGAGGAATTTCCAAGTTTATTAGCTACTATTGAGCCATCACGATCAGATATGGAACGACGCAAAAGCAACACATCAAAGAAGAAACGACAGCCGAAGTCCAGGTAAGAATGCTAAATTCGTTTAAGAAAAAATCTAATTCAGAAGGCATACTTCTATTTTGGTTTTTATTTGTTTTTCAAGTTTATTTGTATAACAAGAAGGTATAATAATACCATTTAATTCGTATCTATTTGGACTGTGATAGACATACTCACTGATTATTGGTAATTTTCTTTAGTTACTAAAGAATAATATAAAGATGAATATCTGGGAAAGGTTTGTTCAAGAATAAATTCTAAGAAAATCTTCGTTTACAATTTCCACATCATTTGGCAATTCTCTTTCTTTCTTACTTTATTCACGTGTATGAAGGTTCTGCAGTGTTGCATATTTTCAGGTTTAGACGCAATTTAGAACTTACAGAAGCTGAGGCATCGAAGACTGATAGCCAAGTTCCCGGGAAATCGGTATTGCTGGAGTTATTTCGTAGCAAAACTACATTTTTTTTTCAACCGAAAGTAGTTCAAATCAAAAAATATTTTTGAGTAGTGTTGTTTATGTTTTATTGATGAAAGTAATTTCTGCTTTTTAGTCGCGTCGGGCTTTTAAGCGAGATAAAATGCAAGGTGCTCAAGCGTTTCCCGTGACAAGCACTGATGATGAAGAGGGTCCGACATCTTCGAAATATCAGAAAAAAAGAAGGAAAGTTATACATAAGGAAAAGACCGTTTATGAAGCTGGCAGTTGGAAATTTGTCTCTGAGGATTTACCTTACAGTAAACGTTCCAGTAGGGAAAGGTTCGTTTGTTCAAAGTTCTCAAACTATAATTACAATGAATTAGTAAACGACAAAAACGACAATAGTGTACTGTATGAAATTCTAGTAATATGATAATTACAGCTCTCCTGGAAGTACTTCTAGCATTGCTTCCACGTTGCGCATTAAGAAGGGTTGGTCAGAACCAAAACTTGGTTGGTGCAAAGATGAAACTACTCTTCTGAGGCGTTCAAAGGTACAATTTTTGCAGTGTTTTTTTTTTTCGAACGCTTGCTTATGTGTTGGTAATATCGTACTATCGTAAATATATAAATAAACTTTACCTTTACAAATGTGCTGCTGAAATTAGAAGGATAATTTTTATTTTATTAAGGAAATTGAAAAAGCGAAGGAGAAACCAGTATACGCGAAATATCTTGCGAAAGTACCACGACATGCGCGAACGAAAAATATGCCAAAAACTCCCAACAAGTACATTCAGTACTCGCGTAGGTCATGGGATAAACAGGTTATTAATTTTCTTAAGCTTTTTTTTTTCTATTTTCAATGGAGTGCCTTTTCTCTATGGAAAAGACTTTATCTTCCAGCGGAACTAATCACGAAGATATCAGAGTTTATATATCTTGTGTCTTATAGATGCGTCTGTGGAAGCGGCGGTTATATGAATGGGCTGATGAGGAGCCGACTAAAAGCTGTTTAAGCTTAAATGAATCTACTGGTGATGAGACCTCAGACAGTGAGACAGTATCTTCTACTTTGAAAACGGATGAAAATAAATCATCTTTGGATGAAATCAAGGTGTGTAATATTCTTTTGATGATATAAGTAATAAATTTGAGGATGATGAACTCCCATTACTGTTTATGCTATCCTTCACTTTTACACTATGTTAAAATATCTTCAATAACATGCCTTATACAATATGTCTATGTGGAATTTGAACTGCAGACCCAGTGATTTGAGCCAGATTATTTCTAATTAAGTGAATGAGCTGATGAGTATTTATCAATATTTTCATTCAATATCAGGTAGAACCAGATGCAGCAGCTTCCCTTCTTGGTTATCTTGATATCGATACACGAACCAATACACTAACAGTTATGAAGACTGATGATGAATCAACGCTCAAAGGAACATCGCGCAGTGTTCTTGGACCTCGTGATTTTAGCCAGCTTTAGCTTTATATTAATTGGTATCCGTGTCATTATGTTATGATTTATTCAATTTTTATCTGAATTCAAATTTCCGAGTGATATTTCAAAACTATTTTGCATTCTATAAAGAGAAATATTTTACTATTAATTAATACATGAAAGAAATTTTTTACATTCGCATTAAGTATGTATGCTTATTATTCTAAGCAAAAAATTTAAAATTTCGTTTGTCGTAGGATATTTTTTGGCTGTACGAATGGCTTATTAATTGTTGTGAGTGAGAGTAGCGTGAATTCTTCAATTGAACTTTTACTGTGTTTTACTTATTTTATTGTTATGCATGAGCTAATTAACTTTGTTAGGATTGATTATTTGTTCTCTCTGTGATTTATTTTTCTCATATTAGGATTTTACCAACACTACAATAACTTTTCAACGCTAATTCATACTTGAAACTCATGAATAAGAAAGATTACATGATTATTATTGTTGTTTTAAAATTATAGTATATGATTTTTTTTTTCCTTTTTTTCATGAATTCATTGTAGAATTTGAATATCTTTTATTTTATCCGGTATTTTATTACTTGTCATTTCTTGTGCTATGCAACCTATTTATTTCCATAATTTAAATTGAAGTAAAATTTGCGCAAAATTCGGAAAATATGAGCAATAGATTAGAAGTGACCTGTACTTCTCTTTTCTTTCAATCTTAGTTTTTTTTTTTTGGTATAAAACTAAAAGCATTACTACTGCCAAGAAATCAATTACGGAAATTAATTGAGATGACAATGACACTTTTGTTTGGTCAATTTTAGTTATTGTTTTAAAAAGAATTGCAAGGAATGTTGGTGAACTATCGTGAAAAAATTCATGTAAGAAAGCTTTCTCTTTTATTGTCAAATTTTTGCTTCATTCTTGATAATACAACGTTGACATGTCAACTGTTTATCAGCTATTAATGTTTGACCTCCAGTAAGAATAGAAATATGAATTTCCTTTTGTTAATATTCCAGTGTTCCATTCACAATGTACATTGTTTAGGAGATACCAAACCGGAAAGTGAATGTTTTCTGTCTCATGAAATTTGCATTTTGCATTATGCAGTACTGTTGTATTGCCGTTACTGCGTGAATATCACGTTGAAACCGTTCAGGAAAAATAGATAAAATAGGATAGGATGAGAAAGAGATGCGGTCCACCAGTAGGATAGGATGAGAAAGAGATGCGGTCCACCAGTAGGATAGGATGAGAAAGAGTTGCGGTCCACCAGTAGGATTGGGATAAGGAAGAGATGCTGTCCATCGTCGAAAATATACCTTTTTCTCCTTTATAGTAAAAAATTATTTCTTCAATAAAAGTTTATTAGGAAACAAAAAAAAAAATACGGGATTGTGATTTACATAATTTTAAAAGATTAATTAGCATATGCAAATTTCAGAAAGTTTGGTAATGATTTTTTTTCTTCCCAAGGAGAAAAGTATCTCTTTGCTATCTTATTATTGTTTGTCATCAAATTGATATTTGCTCAATGAAATGACGGACAGGATAATAAATTAATAATTGCTTTAATGAATTAAAATATAGTAATTTGGTTAAAAAAGATTTAGTTGCAATTTCGATTTAATTTAACTTTCTAACTTTAAAAATAGTATTGGAATAAATGTTAGATTTGAGAATTCGAATATGCAAATGAATGAAATGATGATGAAACATAAATAAATTAACCTGTCATTCCAGTTGTGCTATTATAAGGTAGGAATGTTTTGATATTTAATTAAGAAGACTAATAATAATAATAAGCATCAAATCTATAATCTATTAAATATTAAATCAAAAGTAAACAATCTTTAAAAACAATTTAAATATTTGATGAAAAAATCAGGTGAAAATAAGAATTAAATTGATTCATTTCAAACATTTTCAATGGTTTTTTCATTTCGAATTATTTGATTTCCTGTCAATAATTTTCGGTCCTGTATTTTGATCATATCAATGCTTTGGGAGCTCTTTTTATTCGAAAGGAACTTGTGGAAATTTTTTTCCTTTTTTTTTTGCGCAATGATTGTTTTTGGATTGAAAAATAAGTACTTGACAAATTATGAGATGAGATGAAACTTAAAAATCGAAAAGGAAGTGGAAGAAAGTTTATTTGGGTATTTGAAGAAATTAAAATTGAAATTTCAAAGGACATTTTTTTGGAAAATCGATTGAAATTAAAAACGATCAAATTGTAGTTCATTGCAAATAAGCTATAATTATCAAAAATTGATAATTGAATTATTGATTTTCTTTATAGCAATACTTTGAATTCATTAACAATAATAAAGTGTACTGTAACAGTAAAGGTAATAATCGCTACTGTTTCCAAAACGATTACTGTATTCCAGTTACATTTTCAATTTCGCATTTCTGTATCATTCCAAAGTTTCATATTTTACATTCTCAGTACTGCTTCTCTTATTTTTAAACTTTCTTAAAATTAAACTTATTTCTCCTCTTTTTCTTTTCCATTCCTATTTTATAATTTGATTTTTTTTTGATTTAAAAGTGTTAGGGCAACGATATTGATTTTTTTTTCCCTGCATCGACCGTATAATTCTGAATAACTTGTTCATAACACAGAATCCCTTCGAGGACTTCTGTGATTGAAAGTTTGAACTGTAAAGGTCAAACTTCTGGACCTAATTAATTGTTCCAAACTATCCATTGTCGATAAAACTTCAAGCCACTCAAAAAAATCAAGCCAGTAAAATGACATTCCTATCTTACCTGTATTTAATATTATTCGTCTTCCAATAATAAAGTTCAAAGATGAAATTTAATTTGATATGGAAAGGAGAGCAGAGATCATAACCATAGCTTTCAAGTGACCTCTACTCCACGACCTCTCCACGAAATTCTAGATGATTCTCAAATTGTAGATGATTCTCGAAGTTGTTGGGTTATATGCATGCCTAAGAATCTAGAATGTCCGAATCTCTCCAAATGTACCTATTCTAGAACAAAACCTTCTGAAATATTTCTACTGTCAAACTCGACCGAATACTGTACCGTTCATTCATTTTGGTCATCGTTACTGCTACCAATGGTTCTAGAACATTTCTAAGGTTAAATGATAGTAAAAGGTTTATGTTATCTTTGAAAGCACAATAGTGTCGTCGATCATTGTAATGCAAGATTTTTGTTATGCTTGCTGTGATCAATTTTGTTTCATAGGGTATAAAAAAAAAAAAAAAAANANANANANAATATATATATATATATATATATATATATATATATATATATATATATATATATATATATATATATATATATATATATATATATATATATATATATATATATATATATATATATATAT